ATATATATATATATATATATATATATATATATATAAATACAGTATGTATTAAATATTTTAATATATTATGTTAAATAGTTTATACTGGTTTTCATTTTTAAAAAATTATTGCAGCATATTTAATATAATACAATAAAATCGACTGTATTACAGTCATTAGAATTTAATTTAAATTACATTTTACAATAATGAGAATTAAATTATTTTTCTTATGCAAGTTATAACTCATTCATTTTTTCCAGTTGTTTTGGGGATGGAGTATGATTTGGATAAGTTTTTGTGAGATTTAGTTTGTCATTGATCATGCAACGAGCCTCTGATAATCTCATTTCCACGCTTGGACGGCAGCCGTACTCTGCATTATGAATGAAATGGCATGTACTCAAACTGATGTTTCAAATGACGTGTTTTCTCGTTCAGTCCACAGGTTATACTAGCAATAGGCATTATGGTTCTTACAACGATATTCCTCCTGGCAAACCGCAGCGTCAAGAGTACAAAATCCACCGACCCGCTCTACTACGGTAAGACCAATACTGACAGATGAAGATGCAATGCAACAATACAAAAACACCCTAAAATACCCTAAATGAAAGAAAAATCACAAATGGGATCTCTTTAATATCTTTATTATTTTCTCCAGACAAACTGGGAAAAACGCTGTAAAAATTATTATTTTAGAATTTATATATAAAAGAAAGGTTACTGGATTTTTCAGTGTTTCTGCTTAAAAATGGTCTTTTCTTTATAATTGTTTGTGAAATTTACTTTCAATTTCTGAGTGAAAACTGATCCCCCCCCCCAATGTACAAACAATTTTCATTCAGAAATTCACAAATATTTACAAGCTAGAAAGAAACTGCAAATGAGACATTGAATTAAACGTGAAATTTTGAAGTAGAAAGACTCAAATATTTCCCGTAAACTTCAATAATCGTTTATTTGCAACTTAGAAAAATATTTGACATTTTGTATATGAGCTCAGTTCTGCTTATGTTTTTCTTGAGGAAAAGATCTCGACAGCATCTCAAAACATGCTCAGATTTGTCAAGATATCAAAGTCTGCCATTCAAATAGTACAATTTGGAAACAAAGTTTGAACTTAAATACTAACTGAGAGCTTTTTGAGATGTTTCTGGACCCACAGAGCAATGCATTTCCATGCTGGCCGCGTCGCTGTTATTGACAGCTCTTGAGTCGGTGGACAGCCACTATAAATCAGCCCGCTGCGATCAATCCATGTGTGATCTCAGCTCCTCTAAAGTTTCTCCAGCCTCTATCTGTCCGGCTGCCAGCGCTAATTCATGGTTGAATCCAAAAGCGAGGCGACTTTTACACTTGGGAATGAGGAACCTCTGGTCTGAGGGCCGCATGATTGAAATCCACCTTCACCTGGACAACCATGAGCCATCATTAACTCGCTGTTTGGGAGAGAAATCAATAGCTGGCGAGGAAAAGAAAGTGAAAGCCAGACAGAGACTAAAAGATGGAGAGGAGAAAATCAATCTTATGTTTAGAAGTGTGACTTTTGAAATGTTTTTGAGGTTTTAATGACCTGATTTGGCCTAGAGAGGGCAACCATCCTCTACTTTATTTCATCAAGTCATCCTGAGGTGATCTGATCAATGAGCTGACATTGCTTCATAGATTTCTCTTTGGTGAATCTCACGAAAGCTGTCCAGAACATTTTGCCAGTCAGATTTTTTGTATTGTGAAATTAGTTCGTGAAAATTCAGTACAGTTTTTCACCCTCATAATTCTTATCATCATACTGAAGAAAAAGGCATAGTATTTATTGGAATATATTAACATATCATGCAAATATTTTATATATTTAAATAGTAAATATATTCTATTTATTTAAACATATATACATATAATATATATATTTTAAAAAAAGTTGACTATTTTTAATGCTGATTTGAATTTTAAAAACTCTATTACAGCATTTTTTAAACTGTAATTCAGTAAAAGTGATTGTATTAAAGTCATAAGAATTAAATGGAAATGAACTGACAATAATGATAAATACATATTTTCCTAAAATGTGCCTCTGGTAATCTCATTTACACACTGGGACTACAGCCTTATTCTTCATTAATGCAGAAAAGATTATATTTCATTTGTAAATAATTTACTAATCATGCAAATATTTTATATTTAAATATTAAATGTATTATATTTATCATATTAAATATGTTGTAATTCATGCTGCTTTTAATTTAAAAAATGTATTGCAACATTTTTAGTGTAATAATAAATGTGACTATATTAAAGTCATAATATTTTATTGGAAATCAACATTGACAATAATTAGAATTACATTGTCATTGATCATGTGAGATAAAAACAAGCCTCTGATAATCTCATTTACACAGCAGAACTACGGCTTTATTCTTCATTAATGCAGAAAAAGTATTATTTAAATTGTAAATTATTTAGAAAGCAAATCCAAAAGCGAGGCGACTTTTACACTTGGGAATGAGGAACCTCTGGTCTGAGGGCCGCATGATTGAAATCCACCTTCACCTGGACAACCATGAGCCATCATTAACTCGCTGTTTGGGAGAGAAATCAATAGCTGGCGAGGAAAAGAAAGTGAAAGCCAGACAGAGACTAAAAGATGGAGAGGAGAAAGGGGCTGTTTGAGTGTGATGGAGAGAGAGAGAGAGAGAGAGAGAGATGAACGAGAGCAGAGTGAGAGTTGTGCTAATGTTTCCAATCTGTGTGTGTTTCAGTGTTTGCTGTGTTTTCCTTCACCTCTGTTGTCAGCATCACCAATGCACTGCAGCACCACGGATTTATCAAGGGCTTCATGGACTTTTATATAAGCAAGGTTAGATCTCTCTCTCACACACACACTCACCCTCACACACACACACACACACACACACACACATTACACACTCAAACACACACACACACA